TGGGAAGGAAACAATGGGGCTGGAGAAGGGTGAGGGTTGGGTAAACTGGGGAACGAGGCGAGTGAAGGAGGTTGGTGATGGGCGATGAGAGGGTGTGGGGCTAGGAGAGGGAAGGTTCAAAGAAGAAAGCATCTTGATATGTTTTTGACGCGGTGCAACTCTTGACGCCTCATCACACAGGACTTCATGACCCTAGCTAGCGGGGAGTGGTAAGCAGGTGAATCTCATAGCTTCTGTACTTGACCTGTATTCATCCCGTGCTTGGTGAAAAATGTTTGAAGAATGGAAAGAGGCCGTATCAGATCATGGGAGCCTGAGAAAGGAAAACCTTCTTGTCCTGTATTCAACGTTGAGAGCCTGAGCCTGCTGACTGTAGCACCGTTAAATGCAGGAATACGCTGTCTTTACTTTTTGAAAAGATGAAGTGCAAAACAGACTCGTATGTGAAATGTGCAGAGGAGCTTAATGTGAGTAAATAGTTGGCTCATAGAAGAAACCTTTTGGACCTGACTTCCCTTCGCTTCGCTTTGTCTGGCTTGGCCCTAGGATTCCCTTTGTGTGTGTTGCTAACGTTGCAAGCTTCCTTAGCAGGCCCTCGTTGCAGAGGTGAAGGCTGCCACTGATGAGCGAAATGTACTGCTGAAGAAAGGGCCTGCATGCAAGACAGGCAAGGTGGGTGACTGAACCCTGAGGATGGAAAATATGAGTGGGATGGAAAGGTCTGGATGTTATGCATCTTGCTGAGAATGAGTCAATAATCTGAGAGTGTTTCTGGAACTAACGACGCGTTTTTAACATATTCACCTACCATCCACTCAGACGCCACCTACCCACATGGCACCCACGACCTTTCTTGTCCTCATTGCGCGTGCAGGAGAAAAGGGCCAAGAAAAACAGGAGCCTGAGCAATCTGAGCGCAGACACGAGCAGCGTGGAAAGGTGTCAGAATCCCAACCACTAGACCATTGGGATAAAAGGGCTTGTTAAGTAGCGGGTCAGTGCGCCCATAACCCCCCAGGCCAACGTGCCTGTAACCCTTCCCTAGGATCAATCGGGGATCACCAGTGGACCTCTGACAAAAGAATGCTGGAAAACTGGGAAAGATTGGTTAAGGTGTGTGTCTGAGGGAGAATGGGCTGGGGGGGGGGGGGGGGGGGGGGGGCGGGGAGAGGGGGGAGTGAGGGACGTGTACACGGTTGTAAGGTGGTTTATTACATTCAACATCAGCCGTTAAGCCTAGATTGAAACGAGAGAAGCAAGGATATGTTTGCGAGGTTGCCGCGCAAGCGCACACCTTGTTCCTGCCTACCTGCTATGTCTTGTAGATCTCCCTCCACAGCCACGGAAGTGGTTTGCCCACCGAGTTGACTTGAATTTCACCGCCTTATCCAACTCCCCCGATCCCCCTATCCCCCTATATTGGCTGCGCCTCCGCTGGCAGGTAGCGGAGCACAAGCAGGAGGAGTGCAAGGACAAGCGGAGGGAGGCAGGTGCTGCTGAGAGACAGTACGACAAAATCGACTTTAGATCGGTGAGATGCGACAGGAGAGGTGAGATGAGTGCAGGGAGGGTGAGATGGACACAGGGGCGGCGAGATAGCTAGAAGGAGAGAAGAGAAGGCCCAACCCAGGAGATGACCTCAACGAGGGATATAGGTAAGCGGGTGGATTCGAGCAGAGCCGAATGTGGATCGTCTTTATGAATTGGGCTCTCTTTCTTTTCCTGCCATTCAAACTGGACTCACACACCCGCTCCGTTATGCACTACGCTCATCTTTCTTCCTTGCCATTCCACTGAAAATGCCTATATTCCCACTTCTCCGCTTTGTTCTCTCTGACTTCACGCCTTCCAATCCTTACTTTGGATGCCACACAGTCAGAAGATCACACGTTCGCAGCTTGAGGAAATCAAGTGCCGCCAACAAGCAACTGCAAGCCCTTCAAGAAGGGCAAGGGAATTTTTCACGCATTTGGGGGTGCAAATCGCACGTCAGATCTCACAGTGAGTGCATAATCGCCAACTCTCTGCCCTCTGCTTGTTACTCTTGAGCTTTTTTGCTATTGATCCTCTCGAACTACTGAACGCTAACATCTCTCATGCAATGTGTGTGAATTGAACATGGAAAAGACAAGCCTTTCCCCCATACACACGTGTATTAAGGTGTGCATATCCTTCATTTCCTCCCCCCCCCCCCCCCCCCCGAAATCTCTTTTTGCAGCATGCAAGAGAAGCGCGTGTCAGACGAGGACATTCAAGAGGCAGGCCTTCCCCACACTTTCACCACCGAAGCTGTGGGCAAGTGGCTAGAAGCAGCAGATAGGGAGAGGGCTGTTATTGAAGAAGGCGCCAAGGCTGTGGCTGCAGATGGGAGCGAGTCGGCAGAGGGGAGTGAGGCTGCAGCGCAATGCCAAGGAGTGGAGGCTACGGCAGAGACATATAAACAGGAGACGCGAGGGCTGGAGAGCCTGGTAACCTGGCTGTGCTGTAATCGCGTGAGCGTAGGAGCTACCGACGATGAGATGTTGTCAAAGCTGGACTCTTCGGGAGAAGAGCTCAAAACTCTTACGGAAAACATTGACGTGAGCTGCATTGACGAGTGAGTGAGAGTGCCTCGCGGTGTGAATTTGCGGGTGGTGTAACTGTGAATGTGAGCAAACGAGTGAGTGTGGGTGTACTGGGTTCAGTGTGCTGGGTGCGATGTAGTCTGCTGGGACATGACTACCTGACTACTGGGACATAACTACCTGACTGCTGGGACATGACTACCTGACTGCTGAGACATGACTACCTGACTGCTGGGACATGACTACCTGACTACTGGGACATGACTACCTGACTGCTGGGACATGATTACGTGACTGCTAGGACATGACTACCTGACTGCTGGGACATGACTACCTGACTGCTGGGACATGACTACCTGACTGCTGGGACATGACTACCTGACTGCTGGGACATGACTACCTGATTGCTGGGACATGACTACCTGACTGCTGGGACATGACTACCTGACTGCTGGGACATGACTACCTGACTGCTAGGACATGACTACCTGACTGCTAGGTATACATGGGCAAACGAGTCGAGCTTTTACTCGCCTCGTTCGAGGGACTCGAAAAGCTCGAGTTTCGAGTTTGTTTTTTTGTTGGAAAAACTCGGACGCCCGTGTCGAGTTTTACTCGCGAGTAAAAAAAAGCTCGCGGATAACTCGGTTTTTTCACGAGTTTTTTTACTACTCGCGAGTTTTTTAGACTCGCGAGTTTTTCCTATCCAGTTTCGAGCTTAAAAAAACTCGCGCGTCACCTGGGTCGGATACAAATGTAAAAAAATGCTCATTTTTCAGATCTGGTTTCCAAGATCTAAAAGGAACCACCATTTCGTAGGGTAGTTTCTAGGTGTTCTACCACACCTAGGAACGTCCGCTCAGCCTACGTGTTCTTCTTAAAAAAAATCGTGTTTTTCTAGGGTTTCAGTCAGGTGGAAGGCTAATGACACCCGCAAGCATTATAACACACTTCAATTTCGGACCCATACGTCTTCTCCCCTTGAATTAGACTAAGTTAAGGTGAAAACAGCTAATTTGCACGGTTGGTTTTGGAGTGACTGCGTGGAATAGCATGGTGCGTGGTAGATCGGGTGCAGGGAGAGGAGGGAGAGTACATGGCGGAGGCGGTAGGGGGGCAGGACGAGGCGGTGAGGGTGTCAATGGAGATGACATCGAGCTCCACGCCCTCCCCAGATCGGAGCAACGCCGTTATCAAGCCATTGTAACAGCTGCAGACGCTGCAAAGGTGTTGCAAGCGTCCGCCAAGGGTGGTGGGCGGGGTAGAGACATGGCTTCAGGGGGTTCATCCGCCGCAGGTACATCTGCAGGGGCCGAGCAAGGGGCGATAGGGGACGTTGCTGTCCCCATGGTGGCGGGGTCTGCCATGGCTGGAATGGGGGTTGATGGGGCACGGCAGGCGGATGATAACCACAAGGGTGGGGGGGTTGGGGGCGGCGGACCCATGCCTCGGGAGGAGGTGGAGGCGGGGAAGGCGGAGGGATTGCGGAAGGCGCGGGGGGAGGCAGCAGGGGGGGTTGTAACAGAATGGTTTAGCAATGCATTCATGGAAGAGTTGTCCGACCAAGTCATGAGGGAGAGTGAGGGTGGGAATGATATTTATATAAAGGGGGGAGGGGAGGAGCATGTGGATGAGGCAGATGAGGAGGAGGAGGAGGAGGAGGAGGAGGAGGAGGAGGAGGAGGAGGAGGAGGAGGAGGAGGATAAGAAGGTGATAAACTCAGAGGAAGAGATGTACAATGCTGAGGATGATGAGGTTGAGGAGGATAGGGAAGAGGACTTCGCTGGATTGGAAAATGAGGAAGAGGGGGGCACAAAAACACTACGAGGTCTACAACAAGCTACAAAGGCGGATGCGAAGGGGAAACGTGCTATGGCCGACCAGGGACCTTCTAAGAAGCGTGGTCGCGGATTGAGGCGGGGTCGCGGTGGGGGAAAGGTTGGAAGAGCGGGTGGGAGAGCGCGTGGAGGAGGGGGACGAGCTGCCAACTTTGAGCTCAAGCAGTACACGCTTGCGTTCATTGCTTTGCCATCAAAACACACGGCGAATAAGATCGCTGAGCGGATTGAGGCAGTGTTGGTGGAATGGGAGCTGGAAGAGAGGACCATGGTGTAGACAACGGACAACCCCAGCTCGAACGTGGCGGCGATGGAGATCCTTACGCGCGAGGGCCCGGCGGAGATGCCCCGCTTGTTCAAGACCGGGATGCACATCCGGTATGACCCTTGCATCCGCTTGTGTTCATGCCTGCTCCCTCGTTCACCTGTTAGTGTAGACCCGGCACAAACAACACCGTACATATGAGATACTCCCAACCAAAACCAGAACCACACCTCATCACCCAACAGGTGCCTTGCCCACGTTTTGAACTTGGCCATTCAGTTGGCTTTGAAAAACGTGGATGAAATCAAGTTGCCACTCACCATGCTCCGCGAGATGGCGTCCTACATCGGCTATTCGCCACAAAGGACGACCCTCTTCGAGGCGGAGCAGGAGGTTTGGCGACCACGGAAGCAGTACATGCGCCTGCGGCAAGACAATGAAGTGCGCTGGGGTTCCACCCTGCAGATGATCTTGCGCGGGCTGGACCTGCGCGATCCAATTGAGTCCTACATTCGGCACACAGTTGTGAGCATACCCTCGCCCACCTGCCTTGCTAATTCAGCCGTGGGACGTGGGCTGGACTCTGATTTTTGGCCAACACAGTAGTACCCGCCCCCCAATCCTTGCCTCCCACTTGTACCCGCCCCCCAATCCTTGCCTCCCCCTTGTACCCGCCCCACTCGCCTTCACAAGCCAATGCTCCAGTTGATGCGCCACCGCTGCGCCTCATGGCGCTGCGCATTTCTGTTGAGCAGTGGGACGCACTTGAGGAACTTGCAAAGTTCCTCATGCCCTTCAACGCTGTGACTTTGGCAACGGAGGGGTCCCTGTACCCGACTGCGAGTCGGGTGGTGCTGCAGTACAACGAGCTTATGGATTCGCTCGAGAAGATCAGGGACAGCACCACCTCCCCTCCCTCCGTGATCATGCGGAAGTGCATCGACGCTTCCTTGGGCAAGCTGCAGGAGTATTACTACAGCAGCAGTGATGAGCTGTGTGTCGCTACCTTCTTGGACCCGGCATTCAAGCTCGGATACTTTGAGCTTGAGGACGGGAGCAGCAACATGGGCAGGGCGGTATCTCACGTGCCCTCGGAGGAGGTAGTGGCTCTTGTGCGTGCGAAGTCGCAGCCATACAAGGAGAAGGTGCGGCGCGAGCGAGAGGCGGCTACTGGGAAGGGAAGAGGGGAGCTGATGGTGGTGGGCTTGGGCGGGACTAGCAGCACAGCAGCTGGGGGGAGTGGCAGCTGCAGCGGGACGACTTGGGGGGGCCTGAACCTGTTTGGGGGCCAGAATCATGATTTGGGAGGACTCGTGGCACGCCTGGCGGCGTTGCGTGCGAAGCAGGCAGCAGAGAACAAGGATGAAATCCAGATTTACCTTGAGGAGCCCATGCAGCCCCTATCCACAAACCCCCTTGCATACTGGCGTCGTAGGGGTGATTTGGAGGGGCTGGAGGCTATGGCAAAGGACTACTTGGCCATTCCAGCCACCTCTGCTGCCAGTGAGAGGCTCTTCTCACAAGGTAGGAACCTCATCACATGGCAGCGGCACAGGTTGGGTGCTGAACGCGTGGAGGCATGCATGACCTTGAAGTTATGGATCGCTTCGTACCCGGGCACCCCATTGGGAAAGGCCGCCAAGGTGGCCATGGTGGATGACAAAGTGGGAGTGGACCTGGATGAGGAGTTTTGAGCGAAGGGCCCCATTTTTGCATGTTCAGATCAGGATAGTAGACATCTTTATTTATTAGACTAGCTATTCTCTAAATTAATCTCCCCCTCTGACGCTCACCAGGGCGCTAGACCTGGCCTTCTCAATATGCTTGGTACATTGCTGCTGGTTTGTAACCGTTGTCCAGGTTTCAGCAGGTGCTTGAATGCGTGGCTTTTATCTGCGGGAGTGGGCTGCTGGAGGTGTTTCCCCAAACCTCTTGTCAGGACACTATTGCAGCAGGCGTTGTGCAGCACGGTTGGGGTGTGAAAGTGTGGGGGTGATGTAGGGCTGGAATGCTGGTGGGTGTTGGGTTGAGGGATGTCGACCTCAAAATTGTAGTTGCTATGTTGAGTGGGCGTAGATGGACCTTATTTATGTGCACCCTCTGGCTGGTGCTGTGTGGCTAAAGTGGTGGCTGTGGGTGCTGGTTAAGTTCGAGTCGAGTTTTACTTGACTCGAACGAGCTTTTTCAAAACTTGTACGAGCTTTTGAAAAACTCGATATTATGGGCGATTTTCGAGTTTGATTTTTGGCCAAAAAAACTCGACAATTAAAACTCGACTCGACTCGAGTGCAACAAAAAACTCGCCAAAACGAGTCAAGTTTTACTCGACTCGCCACTTGCCCATATATACTGCTGGGACATTACTACCTGACTGCTGGGACATGACTACCTGACTGCTGGGACAGTTAGCTTTAACTTCAGTCAGGAGGCACAACGTATCAGCAATCATCCTATTTTTCTGTTCTGCACTTGCTCAGGTACCATAAACAAGATGACGCATTTTTCGAGGCGTTCTTTGAAGCAACAGAAGTGACACCAGAGAGGGATGCTGTGAAGCAGGAGCACAGGGCTCTGATAAGGCGTCGGCAGGCAGAGTTTACAGCAGGCCTTGATGCAATCAGGGTGCGGGTGAAGGAGATCTACCAGATCATGGTGCCAGGTGGCGATGCTGACCTGGCATCCGTTGACTCGCTTGACCCGTTCAGCCAGGGAATATGTTTCTCTGTGTGCCCACCATAGCAGCAGTGCTGGAGGAACGTTGCCGACCTGAAAGGGGGAGAGCAGGTGAGAGCAGCCTTTTTGCCCCATGGCTCTGCCAGACCATCTCTTTCCACCCACAGTGGAGTGTGAATGTCACTGCTGCTCCTGCGCCTGTTAGTGGCTCTGTGCTGCACTGGTCATCCTACGAGGGCAAACTATAAGCCACTGAAAACCTGTGCTCTGGCCTTTGCTCTTATGTCTCAATGCTACAATTTGGCACTTGCTGTAGCACCGTTTTTTACTCTCTCTTTCTTTTTTTTCTTCCCCCTCTCCCCCCCCCCCCCCTTAATTTTCCCAACGAACCATCATTCTTCATTCATTGTCCTCCGCATCACATTTCTCACATCACGTCACGTCACATCACATCCTATCACACCACATAACGTATCATCACTCCACCACACGCACTCAGCTCCCTGGCGTTACTGTTGGCGGTCCACCTATGCAAGCCAGGCTCGCCACTAACTACCATTCAACCGGATGCTGCCATGGGTACGTGTCAAGATCGCAAGCAGGAATGATTTCATTGAATGAATTGTGGGTACAAGTACTAACCCTAATACGTATTGGGTTGTACCCCATATGGGCTACCCCACTATAGCCTACACACAACTAGCACAGATATGGTTTGACAGTACGTTCTTAAAACCCTAATCTACAATGTTCTGGTAGGTGCTGGTAGGCGTTTGTAGGTGCTGGACGGTCCTGGTACTAGTGCCTGTTACTGCACGCATGATTGGCGTTGTAGGTCGGCAGGGTCTTTTCTAGATTCTGCATATTTAATACAATTGTAACGCTCCACATTTTGCATCTCTCAATCTCTCCCAAACCATGTTCCTAGCAGATTTGAAGAACACAGTCCATTCTGGCTGACCACACGGAGCGGCACACCACTCAGCACAGGAGCACATGCGCGACCTAGCTTGAACCCTAACCTTGTTCCCCTTTATAGCCATTATGGTTGAATAAGTATCCCTAACGCAGAGCAGCATGACACAAGTATCATCCTGGCTGAGTAGATGAAGCAGCAGGACAGCAAGTGCGCTAGGGGGTTATACAGTTTACAGGGGAATACATTCTCCAGGCACCTCAAAAACAGCAAGTGCGTTAGGGGTTATATACAGGCGAATACATTTTTGAGGCACGTCAAACACAGCCAAAGAAAAAACTTGAACTTGGGAATGGGATACACATACACATCCATAGCGTATTTGTCAATTAGGTCATCTTTTTCCAGATGATCATGATTCAGAAGCACCAGCTCTCAAATATACATCCGACCTTCAACAAATCTCATTTTTCATGTACCACTGTAAGGAAAATCCCTTTTCCTTACTTCGCATCCCTGCTCAACGCGTACATCACTGTAGCACCTCAGTCAGCACCGTTACCACTCGCGATCATCGCATCGACAATCATCCCGCCATTTTTCGCACATCGCATCCCGACCTCACGGCTCGGCTGGTAACCCGCGCTCCGGGCCTACGCCTCGACACTTTCCCAACCTCAGTCCCAGGCTCGTCGCGCGACTACCACAGACCATTACCGTTACCACTGTAGTTTCGCTATATATTCTTCGCTCATGCCCTCGCTCATTGTATTCTTGCTTCGATAGTGCAATTCTCGTTCGTTCACTCAATTGCACTCGTAACACTTGGTTATCAGAGCCTACGATCTCAGCTCGGACCGCATCCACACCTTCGCTTTTCCACTATCTCAATTTTTTGGGGGGGGTAGACGTCTCTCAGCGATACAGCACCGCCGCTCGTAGTGCTCTCTCGCAAGCACGCACGGCCACGACCGAGGCTCTCGCTGAGCTTGCCCGACACCCCCGCCATGGCCGATTTCACGCTCGCCACATTAACGCAGGAGCAACTTGATCGTCTCGTGCGTCAACTGGAAGATTCAGCGCTCGAAATCGCGACGCTCACGGCGGAACGTGACTCCGCCCGTCAACAGTCCACGGTGAACGTTCCGACGACATCACACACACCAACAAATGTATCGGCACATTCGGATGAACCGATCCTCATCTCGTCCGGCACACCAACACAACACGGCAGCATGGGACAACGCTCAGGCACGACCAGTAATGGCGCCGCCCAGCCGATGCCTGGCATGGGAGGAAACAGGATCGCACCAAGCCCGCGGGAGCCCCGAGAAGCCCGTCCGCACGTGGAATTTGCGGCGACAAGTGGCGAACAAGCCATCATGGCACCAATGCCGCTCGAGCCGCAACGCCCGCCCTGCTTCGACCCAAGCCAACGCGGCGGTCCGACGGTTCAATCGTGGGTCTTCACGATGAACGTCTTCTTCGACGCAAATTACGTCGAGTCGGACGCCGCGAAGATCCGGTATGCAGTTTCACTGCTAAGGGGCCCCGCCATGGACTGGTGGCGAGTCATCGTGACGTCGCCACGCGCCTACGAGCCACCGTCGCACGAGGAAGGGCCCACGGGTCCAGCTGTCACCTGGAGTTCGTTTTGTGAGACCGCCCAATACAGCACGTGGGATGCGTGGTGCGCAGGGCTTCGTGCGCGTTTTGAGCCGATCGCGGCTTCAATTTCGGCGCGTCAGAGATTGCGCACTTGGCGCCAGCTCGGGTCAGTTCAAGATTATACAAGCGGTTTTCTCGCACTTTGCGAGCAGGTCGGCTACATGCACAAAGCGGAGCGGGTGGACCGTTATGTCGGAGGGCTGAAGCCGGATATCTCGCACGAAATAATGCTGCGCGGACTCTCTAATTTTAACGAGATTCTCGCGCTCGCCGAGAAGATCGACATTCTACGCCGACCGAGACCGGGGTCCTATTACGGACATCGCCCTCGGGGACCGACCGAGCACGCCACTGTACACGCCGTTGCAACAAATGCAGCTGCCGCACCGTTTAAAGGGCGCTGCTTTGCTTGCAACAGGCCGGGCCATCGCAAGAGCGAATGCCCAGAGAAGCTGAGGCGCCGAGGAGCAGAGCAGGGGAGGGAGTCTCAGAGGCAGGGAAACGCCAGCAGTCAGTAGAAGTTGGGCCAACTACTGACGAGACTGCCTGCTCGCCCAACCACACCGACCCTCACCGAGTCACAGTACCGATTCACGCCATCGATCGGGCTCGGATTAATAAGGAGGGTACAGCGACGGATTGCCCGGTACTGATCTACGGGAAAATACATGGAGCAGCAGTGAAGATTTTTATTGACGGGGGAGCAAGTCACAGCTTAGTTAATACCACAACCGCACGGAAATTACAGTTAACACTTAACTGATGCTTACCTGAGATAGATGCACGCTTAGTCGACGGAACGCCACTAGCCATACGGGAAAAGGTGGACCGAGTAAAAGTCCGCTGCGGAGGAAACTTCGGGTTTACACAGGAAATGCTCGCAACGACACTGGATGGGCACGACATTTTACTGGGACGTGATTGGCTGCGACGGTATAACCCGCGAATTGACTGGACGACGGGTAGCTGCACAGTGCGAAATAGTGGTAACTGGGTCGTCCTACCTCGCTGGCAGCCACCCGAGTCTTCGACGGTCCAGGTCAACGCCATCACGATGAAACGGGCTGTCGCTGCTGGAGCTGACGTGTACGCAGTGGACATAGCATTAGTGCAAGAAGAGGAGCTGCCGAGCGATTTTCAGAAACTATTGGCAGTTGTACCACCCGAACTTCAGGCACTACTGAAACGATTCCCGGGTATCTTTCCGGATGACTTACCACAAGGGCTGCCACCTCAGCGGGCGCATGACCATAGGATCGAGTTAGAACAGGGGGCACAGCCAACTGTACAGCGCCAGTTCAGACTGACACAGCCCGAGCTCGACGAACTAAGGAAGCAGTTAGATTATCTGTTAGAGAAGCAGTTTATCCGACCGAGCTCGTCACCGTTCGCCGCACCGATACTGTTCACACCGAAAAAAGACGGAGGGTTTCGCAT